TGCTTTTTCTTCCAGTCGTCTCACAAGACGTTCAAGATCAAGCGCTTCCTCGCCAAGAAGCAGAAGCAGAACCGGCCCATCCCGCAGTGGATTCGCATGAAAACGGGCAACAAGATCAGGTAACGCGGGGGGCCCCTGCCTCGGAGGAGCAGCCGCAGGCTGGAGATGCTCGGCAGCTCATTGTGTAAAAGCAGAAATGCAGTTTTTCTGGCTGTGAACACCGCACAACCACGCTGGCGGAGATAGGTGATTCCTCTGGGTATCGGTGGCCCATTTTGCTGCACGGCCTGGGCCTTCCGTGGCGTCTCCTTCTGTAGCATTTGGGTCGTTCCGGTGCTCTGCAGGTATCCGCAGCTCTGGGGTGGTGGCCTCTTGAAACTGAGCATGAGCTTTACGTGTGGATAATGTATTGTAGAATTTTTGCCCTGGTAACCTCTCTGCTTCTGATGTTCCCTTTCCTGACGTCTTTGCCCTCTCTCATAGTTGTTCCTCCGGGTTCCTGGGTTTGATTCTGAGATACAGAAAATGATGCGTAAGAGAGCAAAGGGCTTGAGTGTGTGGGAGATAGTGATTTGCAACAGTTCCTTCTTGTTTGCCTGTAGTGTTTATGTTCAGGCATTGTATTTAGGAAAATGCAGTGAGAAAATTGTGCACAATACTGAGGAGGTGTGAGGCATGCAGAAGGTGAGTCCTCTGGTTTAAAAGCTTCATCCAGTATAGTTCAGTCACTCTCTCTGTGCAGTTTTATCACATGCTCACTCTCTAGACTTTTGAAGGAAACAGTTTTCTTTTTCCAGACCCCTTTTTGTCCAGAGTAGTGAGGAGAGTGATGGTAGCAGTGGCTGGCCCAGGCAGTGAAACGGCACAGAATTTCTGTTTCTATTACTTCTGACTTGTTTCTTTCTAGTAAAAATGCCCCAAACTGTGTCATTGGCCTTGAGGTGCTGATTTACAGTGGGCTTCTGTTTTATCTAAATTACAGTATGGAATACTTTATCATGGGGTGAAATCACAAATTTTTGTCCTGAGACACTTGAGTACCTTGGTCGTGAGTTTTAGCCAAGCTGTGCTAAAGCAGGCTGCAATTACAGTGCTTCATTCTGTGGGAGTACTGCCATTTTCCTTCTGAGAGTAACTCTGTTAACACTGTCTCCAGTTTCACCTGCACAGTGGTGAGATTGATTGTTTTTAACATGTACAAGTACATACGTAAATGAATATACCTTTCCTGGAAAGAGGGCCTTTTCCATACACTGCTGTTCTTTCACGTTTAGAACAAAAATGGTACGTTTTGTGTTAGACTATGAACTACATTGAAGAGGCAGTAGTCATTATTGTTGGACAGTCAATATGAGATCCCAGGTCTTCCCTCCAAAAGAGGAGGTAGGACACTCACATGCCAATGCATCTTGGTCTACTTGAGGTTAAGATTCTGTTGCAACGTGCTGGTTGGTTAGTGAATGAAGAAGGTTAACAGATGGAAATTACAACAATAATTCAATACGCAGCTGGTGGTTGTTGGCAGCTTGCCACTCTAGCACATAAGAAGGATTTCATTACTGTTGAGCTAATTCGTGGTGATTTCAGTCTGCTTGGATCCTCAAATGTCTGTGTGCACTTTGCTAATTTACACTGCTTCTGTCTTAGGTACAACTCCAAAAGGAGGCACTGGAGAAGGACCAAACTGGGCTTGTAAGAGACTGTCTCCTGGGAACTCTAATTAAACACCCGTCTTTCTGCGTCAGATGAAACGTGCTGTGTGCTGTTCGGTGACCTCCAAGCGATTCCTTCTGTAGTGTTGGACTCCAGTCCCCAATGTTGTTTGGGTTGTTTTTTATATGCCAGCCTGGGTTATTGATGTGAACTGGCAATATCTTGAAGTCATTTGCATCTGAAACATGAAGACTGTGTTCAATTAGTGTTCTTTCTTTCAGGCATCATCATGAGTATTGACAGTGTACAGGCCTTGTTAATAAATATGAACCTGAATGACTTGGTTGGAATTATTTCGTACACATGTGGTGGAATAGTTACAAAATAAAAACTAACATTGCTGTTAATATAATCTCAGTGTGAGGAACCTTGTGAGCATTTTTCAGACAGAGTAGGCTGTGTCTTCCTTTTTACTTACTGTAAGCCTTAGAGAGTATTTTTAAGAAAAGGAGTAAAAATCAGAATTGATATTAGAGGAGTTAATTTGAAAAAAATCTTACATTAGACAAAGTGAAATAGTTAAAAGTATTTTAGGGGCAGATGTGAAAAAGGCAGACTTCGTTTTATGATCCATAGACCGCCGTGGCTACAGGAGCTGTTTGGGGTGTCAGCCTCTTACTACTTAAACCTGGGGGAAGAGTCTCAATTACATTTGTAGTAGGTTTATGAAATTTTACAAAGAAAAGTAAGCAACATTGTCAGAATTTGCTAAAGATGTGTCTGGTTGCATTTTATGGGTCTGGAAAGCAGAGCCCGCTGAAGATGCTCCTCAGGGGTATGGTGGCTCGCCATTTGAGGTGTGCAGTGGTAGGTGGGGGGGAACCAAACTAAAACCGCACTAAACCAAGTTCACAGCTGCAGATTCTTGAGTCCACGTGGCCCTTCTGTACCTCCAGAGTAGCCCATGTAGTAACGTGTAGAGTGGTCAGTCAGATAACCATTTTTTTTTATGGATGGAAGAGCATGTCTGAACTCCAAGTGTTCAACTGTGCAAATGATGGCGCTAGGGCACTGGGCAAATGCTGAAGTGTTAGGTGCCCAGAAGGGGAGCAAGAACGCAGAGCTAAGAATGGTCAGCGATACTTGAATACCAAGATTACCTGTCCTGTGCCAGAGCAATGTCTGTGTTACTGCAGTTGGCTTCTTGTGAGCTTCACGCCTGCACTCAGCTGAGGACGGCAGCTGCTTCTTGCCCTGTGTGGGTCTGAACCTTGCACCCCAGTGCTGTGAGCTGCCCTCCGGTAGGATGTGGGGCAGGACAGCCCTTAGAGCCGGGAGTTAAGATCTTGGCTGGGAATAACCAGATGAAAGGAAGTTTCATTTAATTAAAATGGAGGAAAGGGGATAATACCGTAAGGGTAGTGGATGGGTTTATCTCCTTCAAAATGCAATACCCCCATAGTAGTACATAATGTCTGCACGTTCCCTAGAATATGAAATAACTTGAGTTTTGGGTGGAACTCGATGTGGCTTAATAAGTTGCTCTTGGTGCCTGTGACAGGTGCAGCTTAATTTGAAACATTCTCAGCAGAAAGGTAATAAGTCAAGATGTTGCTCCAAGGAAGTCAGCAGCAACTTTAAAAAGGGGGAGAAGCAAGAAGGGGTGAAACCGCTCAGAGCAGTCAGTGCTGGTGCTCCAACGCTGACATTCTCTGGTGTGGCCTGTGAAACGTCACCTGTTCACCACAGGGAAGTGGAGGAGCAGGCTGTGGCTCAGTGCTGAGTCCTGCACGGCTGCTGCTCCTTTCCCTTCTGCAGTGCAGACCTGGGGCAGAGGCTCTGCTCAGCGGCGGTAGAGGAGGTGTGAGCCTGTTGTCGGATGTGGCTGCAGAAAAGCCCTGCCTGATGCTGAGGGCTGCAAACTCCTCCAGTGCTGTTTTCTGGGTTCAGCCTGCTAGGCTGGCTCGGTTCCTGGGTGGCAGCTTCCTGAGGAAACTTCAGGCCGCCACACCTTCTGTGTTGCTGTTTTTCATGTTGAAGGTAAATAGATTTATCTCCACTTTACGATTCACGGCAAATAATGCTGGGCAGCAGTATATGCCAAGCACAGGTAAATGCATAACAAATACACACCTTGCTCAGAGCTCGTCATGGTTTCTCCCTCCTAAAGTGTGCTGGAAGCTTCTGTGAGCACAGGAGAGCAAGGCTGGGACTTTTAACATCAGGACACTTCAGAGGCATCTTCTCGCTCCTTTTCCTGACTGGTTAGCAGTTCAGTCTCTGCTTCGTTATCAGGGGGAAGCAGTAAGTCACTGCAACAGGAAAGCAGCAAACAGCCTTGCCAGAGATGTTTCAACAGAGGCCCACGTGTTGCGAACACTCTTATGGCAATGTTTTTTAAATCTCTTCTTGTGCTCTTCTCTTCGAAGTAAATGTTTAGGAAATAACAGCACTGCTGAGGGTTGAAGATCAGCCTCAGAACCCTGCCTCTCCCTATGACCACTGCTGGCAGGCAAAGCTACTCGCAGAGTTCCTCCTTACATGTGTTTATGAGGACCTGGCCGAGGAGGACTTGAGAATGGAAAGAAACAGTTTTCTCTGTGGCATTTGTGGCGAAGCTTTCTTTTTACTGAGCAGTAGATCAAACTGTTTATTACTACTTACTAGGTAGTCTCCCTATCACTATGATTACAGATGCTACTAAGGAGCTGCTTTGGAAAATAATGGAGCTGCTTTGGAAAACAACCCCTTGTATTATTTTTCCCCATTTGACTGAATCTGCTTTTCAAATTGGGCGTTAAGGGATAGCATGAAGTAAATGTAATGCAAATTCAAATTGGGTTAAAATAATCTGTGGAACCTTAACCAACACAAACACCTCTGGGTTGGAATTATTTCTGCTGTTGCTGTGGCAGGGCTCTACCTGCAAGAGTTGGGGGTAAGGATCAGGGATCTCTGCAGAACTGGGCTAACAACACACAATAACTGAGAAATCAACAGCAGCTTTAAAAAAAATCTAAGTAATTTGGATACTCTAGTCCATTTATTTTAGTGGATATGCTTTTGTTTTCTGAGTGAGAAGCAAAGTTAGATTTGATTGCATACTCGAGTATACAATCAGATATGTATAATCATTGCATATTTTCTAAATGTGTCTGTATTTCCAGACTGACTGCCACTCTAGGTATGAAAATAAACAGCACAAGACAGAGGAGTAGTTCACTGGAAGTGGCATGATCTTTGGGCTGAATACAAGGTACAGCAGCAGAAAAGGTACTGCAACTTGAAGAGTCGCAGACTTTTTTCACTCTGTGAAGAGGAAACTTTACAGGGCAGGCAAGGCAAGGAGTGGCTTTGATGAGTATGTTGGAAGAGCAGGGTTCTGGTCTCACCCCTTCTGAGATGCCTGCTTAATTTGCCTCAGAGCAGAATACAGCTTCAAAGTCTGACCAAAAGACAGGAAGAAAAGCTGCCTTTTCGGGGATTTTGGTTAGCTGTCAAGGGGAGGCAAGTACTAAGTGTCATTTAATCATATATACGTGTAACATTTGCCAGTTAAATTTTACTTTCAAATGGAACATTGAAGTGCAATTTTCCCCGTGGAGCATGACTAAGCTGCAAACGTGAAGGAATCAGCACCTTCAAGGAAACGCTCACTAATTCCACTGTTTGCTCTGTGTCTTACTTAGAGGAGGATGTAAGAGTGATCCCTTGCCCTCTCCCTGACAGCATGCTGCTGCAAAAAGGTGACGGAGGACTAACGGGTCAAAAAGTATTTAATCAGATATGTACCCACCTGTCTTACCAACAGCACTTTGGGTACCAGAACTAAAGATTGCACATGTTTTGACATCAGTGCTTCTCATGAAGTATGTGCTGGTGTGACCAGACTTGTTAGAAGCCAGCCTGCTGTCCCATGGCATGGAAGTGGCCAGAGAAGTTTTGGAATGAGCTTTGTTGCAATAGTCTTTAATCTATTAGAGCTAAAGCATTACAAAACCAGTGTAGATCAGGCATGAAATCTGTTCCCAGTGTGTTTGGTGTGCCTCCAGTGCTGACCTCAGTGATTAAAAAGATGTCCACATATGTCTTTATAAATATGCAAAGGGTGAGAGTCAGGAGGACAGAGCCAGGCTCTTCTCAGTGATGTCCAGTGACAGGACAAGGGGCAGTGGGTGCAAGCGGGAGCATAGGAGTTTCCATGTAAACATAAGGTGAAACTTCTTCACTGTGAGGGTGACAGAGCCCTGGCACAGGCTGCCCAGGGAGGTTGTGGAGTCTCCTTCTCTGGAGACATTCAAAACCCGCCTGGACGCGTTCCTGTGTGACCTACCCTAGGTGATCCTGCTCTGGCAGGGGGGCTGGGCTAGACGATCTTTTGAGCTCCCTTCCAACCCCTGACATTCTGTGATTCTGTGGTCTATGTGTCCACCCAGTCACCTGAACTGGACACTATCCAGTCACTGCATCACTATCTGCTCATCTGGAAGCTCTTCTTCCATGTCTCAGAGATCATCTTGGGTCCCTTGGTCACCTCTGCAGACCCTCAGAAAGGCAGCTGGAAAGAAACCACAACTCCCCTGTGAAGCGAGGTGTCTGTGCAAGGGCCGCCACTCTGTGATGGGGAACAGAAACTCCTCAGTTGCTGTCTGAGAGTCACTTCTCAAAGAGGACTGCTATTTAAGGGAGAACAAATGGTCTCATGGTGATGAGAAAGAGGAAGGAGCAGTTGTTTTTCTGAAGACATTTTGAAGCAGCCCTGGCCTTCAAGAATGTGAAAAGCAAGTTGAAATCAACTGCGCAGAGCTCTATTTGGTGAACAAAACACAAACAGGGGAGCAGAGGCTTTGCCTTTTTAATGCAGTTACTGATACACACATGCGGGATTATGCTGCTTTAAGGACATTTCTCCAGAATTTCACTTTTGAGCATGACCTCAGCAGCAACAAAGATAATCTGGGTAATCAATAGTAATCAAAGTTACTATGAATCATCTTTCCAGAGGTGAGACTCCAGTCCCACAGGAGCCACCACGTGTCTGCCCCTCCTGCCTCCTCCACTCCAGCCCCCATCCTCAGTGGAGGTGAGCATCTCAGGCTCCCCTGGATGGGGGTCCCAAGGAAAGGGCTGCCAGCAGGACTTGTGCTTTCAAAGACTTCTCTGGGCCCAGTCTCGTCTGACAAACTGGGGACTCCAGGTCTTACTGAGAAACAGCTTTATCTGTCATAAACAAACAACAGCCCAGAGGAGGTGCATGTAGCAGAGATCTGGGGATCTCACAGGGAGCTGGAAAGCATTTGCAGCTCAGTGGCATGATCTGCTTGTCCACACCTGCTCTCCCTGCCAGCAGAGAAGCATACGTAAAAAAGTGTTGGGGGGGGTTGTTTCTGAAGTCATAGTTGCTTCTCTATCATCAGCCTAGTGCCAGGCTTCTACCATCTCAGACTGTGGTTGTGAAATATTTAATTATAGTTTGCCAGTGTCTCTGTCCAGGCACCCAAGGAGCCCTTACTGTCCAACCTCACAGCATTCCTGGGAGCCAAGGCAGCACCAATGGCTTAATTTTACAGGTGGGGGAACCCAGTCACTGAATTGCTGCATGATCCACCTACTGTCATACAGACAGTCTGCCAGCAGTCCAGGGCAGGCAGCCCAAACATCCATTGCCCAGCACGGGAGACCATCTCCTGTGGTGGGTCAGCATCCCTCTGCGGGCACGTGGGATGTTGGAGAAGCAGCTCCTCACAGCAAGGCCAGCATGTGACGTCCCACCATGGGGGTCTGGTGGGCTGCAGCAAGGAGTCCCCATCAGCAGGGGCAGGGGGCAAAACCTCTGCAGGGACAGGCGGATTTTTTGGAAGGGCTGTCCCCAGGCAGTGCTCCCTGTGACCGTGGTTGTCACCCACACACTCACACCGGCACAGCCGCAAAAGACTATGTGAGACCCATGGTGGCCACCATGCCCCTGTGCAGGTGGTTAATCCCCGCTTGGCTGGGATTTTGAATGCCAAGTTCCCAGCTCTCTGCAGGCTCTTCTGGCTGCTATTCAGAGCGGGTTTGCAAGCGGATGGACCAGGGGAGCTTCAGCGCTCTTGGAAGAAAGGAAATGCCTGTCTGACAAAGGCCCGAAGGGATGATAGGCTCCAGGAGTGCTGGGCTTTCCCCTCAGCCCCAGAGTCCACACAGTCCCGCCCTGCCCTGGCCTCTCTGGATGACTTACAGTTGTTGTTGGTGTTGTGAGAGCACAACTGGACCAAGTCCTCCTCCAAGGCCCCCGCCAGCTCCTTCAGCTCCCTGGAGGTGTCTGCCCTCAGGTACTGCCAAGCCTTGCGGCCGTTGTGGTCCCTAGCACTTTGATGAGCAGCTCGTGCCCCTGAAGGGCAGCCAGGTGCAAGGGGGTGAGCCCACCACTGGCTGTGGGGATGTTCACATTGACAGGATAGCCCTTCTTCTGGGCATGGGAGATGACCCGGATGAAACTTTCATGACGGCCATGCTTGGCAAGCCAGTGGAGAGCGGTGAAGCCTGTCACAAAGTCTTTCCTGGTCAGCAGGCTGGGGTCCAGGTCCAGCAGCCTGACGATGTTGTCCGCATCACCCTCAGCCACCGTCAGCAGCCTTCGTGCTCCAGGGGATCCAGGGCAAGGGAGAGCACCTCGGGGCTCTGCTCAGGCTTCTGTTCTTGACGCAGCCCTGCAAGGACACTGCTGCCGCTGGATGTCTTCTGTGTGGTGGCAAACCTCATGGTGCTGCCAGGGCTGTTGCTCTGCAGGAGGATTTCCTTCAGCTCCTTCCTTCGGGTACTGCCA